TCGCCACGCACTTCGCCGCGCAATTTGCCGCGCGCATCCTCGGACGCACGTACCTACCCATACCCGTTGGGAAGCGACGGCATACACTGCGGATGACGTCCATTTTAAGAGAGGTTCAATGCAAATACACTCTACCCACAACTAAGCATGGTGGAGGAACTGTGATGGTATACGGTCCCTTCTCCTCGAATGGAGTGGGCTTCATTTCCTCGAATGGAGTGGGCTTCATTTTGAGAATTGACGGCACAGTGACAAGGGAGTAGAACAAGAACATGAAGACCAACTTCTTTTCGCCGAGGGCACAGCATCACATGCCAGCAAGACAGGTCCTGCTGCAGGGTAACGATCCGGAACAACTTGTCAATAATTGTGAAGGCGGCCTTCAGCGTACAGCGAATCTACTTCTGGAGAGGACAAGCCAGCGATCGAGTCTGCATCTTATAGAGCACATGTGGGGAGAGCTCAGAAAGCGTTTTCCGAGCAAACGTTGAAAAATAGCAAAGAAAAATTCGCTCAATAAGCGAAGAAGGGAACGCCATGCCAGTGTCTACCATTCCAAAACTAATCGACTCAATGTCTTCCCATTGCGATGCTACCATCTAAAGTCGAGGCTTTCCTACCAAATATCGGTGTTTTTGATGTCTTACATGTTTCTACTCCAAAATAAAGATGTTTTTATTATGTCGATGCTATCTGTATTTCCCACTGAATTTGAGTTAATTCTCACTAACGTAACGTGAACAATGGCAAATTGCAGTTTAAAAACTGTAAGTATGCATGATATGCCTTTGATTAACATACCAAACTTTCATGTGATTTTATGAAGTAGGAAAAAAGTTACACTTGAGAAAGCGTTTCACCGAAGACTTTTGGCGCTACTCTATCAGGTATAGTAGTTAAGATGGGCAGATCCCGACAGATTGATATTCAAGCCTTTTTTATCTGATTGCTGACTCACTTAGGACAAGGACCAGCCGCTCGATATCGTAGATTGAAAAACAATGGCCAGGAGGCGAAGGGTCTGCTATGTCCTTTACATACCCAATACTATGGAGAAAGTAGCATCTGCTGAGTATGCCGCGACAGTACAGTTAAGATACTCAGATGGCAGGCGTTGTGACAGGCGATCTACGGACACCCTTGTCACATATAAATGGTTCATGACGTCTACTGCATCACGACTTGATGCTACGACGCTCGCGGTAGCATACTTTTAAAGCCCGGCGGGGCAAGGCCAGCATCGGACGGCAACTATGCTAATCCAGAAATCCCCCGAGATGCCTAAAAAATTTACCTTGCAACGCTCATTTTTGCCTGTTAACGGACTGTTCCTGCTAGTTAATAGATGTGCTACAGCGGTGAGAAAGAGAATCTGTGCCACGCAGAAGTCAAGATGATTCTGCTGCAAGTCATGGGACGCGGATTTAAAGCCAATCATTGGTCTCAGGACGGCGTCGGAGTTATTGCCTCCGAACGTTTTCTGTTTCGATTGTTGGCGTTGCTCTGAGTGGATGTAAGGTTGCTCTGAACTTTACTCAACGAGAAAACAGCCAAACACGCGAAGCCATCATAATCGCAGGTGATTCAAATCGGTATGATAACACTGCGGAAGGGAGCCACAGTTATCGTGGTGGGTTTGGATATTGGCCACGTAACGCAGAGGGTGAACAGATCCTTGAATAGGGGCCTCGCATGAATTTAATTATGACTTTGTGAATACGAAGTTTCGGAAACCTGGCTATCACCTCTTCACCTTCCACAACAGTTAAACCGGAACACACATAAGCTTTATTCTCATCAGCCACCACCAACTAGAGCTCGGAACAGATGAGAGGATTATCCAGTATGAGATGAACGTCACGCAACATCGACTACTGATCTGCACGCTAGAAGACGCCCCACCAAAACAGAAATATGCTCAAAGAAAAGGACCTGCAAGAATTAAATGGTGGCGTGTAAAGAAAAAGGAGACTATGTACTCGAATTCTGTCACGACCGTCAAGCAAAAACTTAGTAAGATGCAGCCGGGGCGATAACACTCGTGCTTGCTTTTAACTGGAACGACAAAGCCTAGATCGCGGAAAATAAGAAAAGGCGAGTGGGAAGAAGAGACTCCACCATTTAGTGGTTCTCAAAAAGACACATAACTGACAGCGAGAAATTCGAAAGGCGCGATGGTGAATGACATATTACCGTCTTGCTAGAGCATGCTCGCATACCGAGAATATCGAAGCTTTTCGGGATCAATGGCAAAAATGGCCACCTTCAAGGGCTACATACTTTAGGAACATCTTTACATCAGGATTCCTTCATCCGCCCTACCTTGCGCCGTGCAAGTCACGATCTCTTACAAAAGACAACAGTAGAGGAAACGGAAAGAGCTCTGAAAAAGGTGACGTTTGGTAAAGCAACCGGCAGCCAACGTGTGTAAGTTACGGCGCTTGAACAATGCAGCACGAGAGTATTACCATTTTGATTCAAAAGAAGAAGAGTAGCTCTACAGACTGCTTGAGCTACGGTGCGATTTCTCCGATGTTTCACAGTGAAAAAAAATTTCCAGAAGTTTATTCATTTAGCTCTCCATCAGTCAGTGCGGCTTTCACAATGCTTGCTGTATTGCATCGGCTACAGCAGCAACCTATGCAGAAGAACATTTTGAGAAATAGAAAGCAGTCTATATGAGCCTTCTAGACCATCTATTGTGACCCTTCTAGACCAGAAGGCCATCTATTGCGTTCCGAGTGAAGTTATATAGTATCCTTTGGTTCCTGAAGAACTCACTGAATGGGTACTCTCATACTCTGTTCAAACCCAACGAATAGAGTACAAACATCAGAAAACACTTCATCCAAATCCCCCATCTCCGTCGAGTTACACCGAGGCTCTGCACTTTCCTCACTACATATCGTTGTCGTCATGTATGCCATTACCCAAGACCTTCAGAAGCCAGCGCCATGAATAGTTCTTTATGCCAACGACGTAGTACTCGCGTATGAAGACAAAAATGTACTCTCTACTGTACTAAGGCTTAGTCGTTTGAAAGGACCACCGGACTAAACTAAATCGCGACACGGTTGATTGCAGACATAAATAGCACCTAGCCAGTGAATGCGATGATCACGGACCGGCATAGATCATTTGATAGCAAGTAAATATCATTCCAGTAACTAGCTGGACCGCTACTTTCTGGAATGATGTTTACATGCTCGATCAAGGCTAAGATAAAGACTAAGGAGCCAGTGAGAGAAGGCTAACTCACCTTGAATACAATAAATTCTCCTCGAAACGTCGTGATTGCGTCGGCTTCTGATGCACACGGATGCGGCCTTAAATTTGATAAATATCAACTTGATTCACGACAAAAAACTAAACAAGTTTGCTTTCCTAGTTTTGCTAGAAAGTGATAGGAAGACCCGCCACATCACGACTACTGACAACTACTACTCATCCCTTTGTCATTCACTGCTTATGATAAAGTAGTGGATGAGAGAGCGATTCGAAAGGTGGTCAATTAACTCAGCAAATCCATCCGTTGAGTCCGACCATGGAAGGATGATTGGGAAGCTAACATGGCTCACCTAACGTCCTTCTGGCGGTCGGTATCCTGTAAACTCCGTTGGCCTGCTTCCTTATCCAAATTGCCATCTGTTTCGTGCCGGCTCACAACTAACCTTTCGTTGTCCCTTTCTTTTCTTGGTGGCGGACCTTAGAAAGCTGTTTGACGAACATCGAGTGGGGAAAAACTATACTAGTACATATCTTTAACAACTGGGTCAACTAATGTGACGATGTGCTTGTTTGAATGCGGATGTCGGTGTATGTGTGTTTGACGGAAATTCTTAACTCTTGTTCTTTTAAATCTGGAGCGATTAGATTTTCAAGAGATACAGGGGTATTGTGACAATTGTCGCAGATATGGGGAGCTGGTTACAGCATCATAAGGTAGCTAAAAAAGTGCAACAAAAGGCAATAGCCGTTGGATCTCTCGGTCAGAAAACTATCACAGGTGATAACGATGATAAGCGTCATTAGAATGAAGGACCCATAAGGTAGACTACGCATTTCGTTTGGGTCTTGACCCAATGACATTTTACTTGAATCGTAAAAGTTGGTATCAGTATAAAAGCAGCGATAAGAGCTGACGAGGGGCCTCAAGTCAAGAACCGCTGAGCTGCTCTCCCAAAAAACTTGAAATATGTTGAAGGCACAGTTTACGATAAAAATGGTTTCTTAGATTTCTCTTCAGGATTAGCAAGTGGTCCATAAGGGTAACAGAAAGGAGGATGTCGGGCCCAAAAACCAAGAGCTAGGGCATAATAGAAGCCCCATTACCGGATGCCATGCCCCCTAATTTAAATATGTGCCCCCTCGTACACCATGGCGCCGTCAGGTCGGAAAACGGTCCGCATGGATAGGGCGTTATAAGGACCCAAAGATGTACGCCACGCATGCCACGCCCATAGCGGGCTAGTTTCAGGCCATACTGGAGGCTGCACTACCTAAATTACTCTTTTGACCTGATGTAGTCAGCTCTTTGCGCAACTGCAACAATTGAAATCTCGTCGAAAAACCCCTCCTGTTTTTTCGAAATGGTAATCTCGTATAACCCCTACTTTCACTATCTTTGAGAAGCCTTGTTTTTTGGCAGCGAATTTTCTTGATTTATAATTCTTGACCTTCAATGCACTATTTCCAACGACATTCTCGCTTTTCGACTTCGAAAGGAAACCTCGAAATCATCGTGAACTGTGCCATCAAGATCAAGCACTCCATTTGTATTTTGATTAATGGTGTAGTATGTTCTGCACGTACCATAAAGGCTTTGAATGGTATAGATATCTTCTCGAGTGAATTGCTGCCCTTCGACAAGAATTGGATACATAATACTGTTCACATCGCCAACGTGTGGTAGCCCAAGGGCATGCCCAATTTCGTGAATAGCAGTCGCAAATAGTAGATCAGCTTAAAAAATCCAATTTAGGAATGAAGATATGATCATGATATTTTTTGTTCTCGGAATTAATACTAGAAAAAGAAACTAACGAGCCCATGGCACGTCGTCGTTGAAATGGATATCGCCAATGAGACGAGATGGATCTTCATTAGGTTCGAACTCTGCGCTTCGCGGACGGAAGGCATGTGCAAGTACTTGTGCTGTGAATGGATATTCACATTGATGCGAACCGACCTGTAGATCAAAATCAGCTCCATTCAAAGTGTTGTAACACTGAACTCCTAGACTAACTGCGCATTTTACTGGTTGATGTCTTCCCTGTTAGAGTGGTACTCCCCCTATTGTTCCATTCGGAGCGACCTTCGTGTCACTAACCACACAGTGAGCGCGTTCAGTGGATTTATGCATCTGCTGTACGTATTTAGACAATGAACTGAATATTTTTTGCATCTGATACTGACATCGCAGTGGTTTTAATATATATGGAATTAGGAGCGATACCATCAAACAGGTTGAGTTCAACTGTCACTAAACAAACCGTGTTGATGCTCTGTGAGATGGAGACACGAAAATTAGATGCATGGCGTTCGATGAAACCAAATCATCTAGAGAATCGGTCCTTATGAACGAGGGATTGCTCTAGAGGGATCTCCCACATCCTGCTTTCTATTTCTTCTAAGTGACGGTAAGTAAGTCAAGAATGGCTCTAGTCAATCTTTTTCACTGAGTAAGTACTATGAAGAGTCCTTCACAGAACATACTGCCATAGGAAGGTGTTACAGCTCTGGGACGAAGTGCTTTGTTGAGGACAAGATGACAATTGACATATGCACCATGGAATGAGCTTTTATAGCCAAGTATCACACATCAATGACTAACATTGTGATGTATAGACGATGTGGTTTATCCCTAGTCAAGCCCATAAAAACTAGCNTACGACCGTTGAGCGGTCTTCTGCAACACCTCCTTTTGGATGAAATAGTGAGAGTGAAAAAAACGGAAAAATACTTTTGAACACGTTGTACGTGTGAGTGCTGATAAGCTATGGCATATAAGCCATCAAGAAGGCGAGGGCAAGCGGGGCCTCGGTAGTGTAAGGGATAAGAGCACGGTCCCCGGAAAGGACAAGTACGGGTTCAAGTCCCGTCCGAGGCTGAAGTTTTGTCCACAAATCGCCAACCTTGTGAGAGGAAAAAATACTCATCTGGTAACAAACGTCCATTCTACTACGTGTAGGAATTGAGTCTTGGCTTGGCTCGAGGCCGGCTCGCTGGTCGGCAAATGCGTCGTGCTCGTCGTTCTTCTGTGGGCTGATTTAGTGATAGAGCAGTTGTAATCGAAATGTTATTTTCCGTTACTGACGACCTTTCATCGGAAACAGGCGCGGTGGTTTGATTCAGCACCATCGGTTTTGCAGTTTGCAATCTCTAGCGGAAAATTAATGATATCCAATAGTGTATCTCGTGCTTCTTCAGATATTCGAAAACGTCGCTTCACTGCCTCCTTGTTCAGCACATCATATACTGCACGTCCATGACGAGTGAGATTTTTGCGAGGTACCATTTTCTTTCTTCTCTTCGAAAATCTATAACCCAGCCAGCATTTTCTGGCTGAAAAGATTCTGCGGGTGCCGTGGGGCCCTGTCAACACTACCTGACCAAGAGGTTAACCCTCAATGTATAGGAACACCAGCTGAGTGCAAAAGTCGCTGCAGCGCGACGTTGAAGCCGTCCCAACGACCTGTCGCCATTCCCATAGGGAAGAGTGTGAGGCAGGGCGACACTATTTCGGCAAAGCTCTTCACAGCCGCGCTGCATTAGGTCATGAAGTCACACAGAACTATGGCTGCCAATCATCTAAACAAAGACCAGTTCATGAAGAATGTTTTGGCTGACAACAGTTATTATTAAATTCGATGTATCAATATTAAAATCGATGGTGCACCTATCAAGGAGACCTCGCCTGACGTTTATCTCGGACGCTCCACGAAAATGGACAACGACATGAAGGAAGGGCTGGTGAGACAGCATAGCTTCATGGAAAGCCTTCAGACATCCGTAAAAAAATCAGAAACCATCTGGCTGATCCTGAACTTCGCGCTAATTGTTCGATTCTACAGTATTTCCTGTGCTCCGTTGTGGGTGGAGGCTTGGGTGACCAGTGCATCCACGGTAAGAACATTAAGCATAAGTCACGGAGAAGTCGAGCGATTTCTTTTTATTTTCAACCGCCTCACTCAATATCGAGCCGGGCTCCGCAGCTCCAATATGTGCAGGATGTCTCGCCTTCGCGATCCGGTGGAATACATGAGAATGCTAAACTTCAGTGGGCCGGTCATATCATGAGAAGAGATGACGACTGATGGACAAGAAGAGCCGTCGAGTAGGTTTCCATAGGATCTTCACTGTATAAGGGTGAGCCTGCTGAGATGGGGGATGTGCTCGTCGACCACGTCGAACAGCTGCGAATGCAGCTGAACGACTCCTCACATCGTCATCTTCGGCTGGTCCTGAATCTAGCGTGAATGATAGACGCGCAAGACAGAAGCGAATGGTCTGTTGCTAGTGCTCGCACATGAATGAAGATGAGCCGCATGAGTATAAGTAAAGATACATACATACATGCATACACGTGTGCGAAGTACTAGTACTGCGAAGTCACCGAACATTATATATTACCATCGAGATCGCAATGTTGTTAACATAGGATTGGCGCAGTGGTGATGCAAAGAGAGATAAGTTTGAAGCAGTGGCGAGAGCTGCGATACAGGCAGTAGAGGAGCAATTAGACTGCCTAAAGGGTCTGTATGCCAAAAAGCGAGAGGAAAACATGGAAGTGCGTGAACTTATGATTTCCTTGGGCTGCGGATCACGTGTGGAGATGGTGCAAGTGGTGAAAGAGCTCGTAGAGAAAGCGAGTGTGCTCGAGGAGGTGCAGAAGTGCACTGGGTGGGCCGATGAGGACCTTGTGCGAGAGTGTAGTGAGTTGGAACGGAAATTAACTAGTTTGTCACGGAAGAACAACGAAATACTCTCGTTGCAGCGCCAACTCGAGGAAAGACAGAGAGAGATTGACCACTTGCGCGCCGAGCAGGCAGCAGAGAAGAAAGGATTGCCGCTTACTGATGAAACAATCCCAGGTACGTCGTGTCAGATCAGATCCAAGTATGATTTGGAGGGTCTGAAAAGATTAAGAAATGCATGGAGTGGTGATGATATTGTCTTGCAAAATGGGCGAGAGTTGCGGCCGGCATCGAATCGCTTGACGCGGGATAGCTCCAGGCAGTGTTCAAGGAAGAAATTGGAGTCGAACGGTGAGTGCAGAGATGTGATGACGAACTAAGTGAAATTGATCGCCACTTGAGTTCGACATCGAGTAGGTGTAGTGGTAGGAATAGCTCAGTATGTAGTCACAGTGGCATGAGTTCTCACCTAAAGCACATAACTTTGCCTGAGGTACGAGTATATACTGGGAGAGATAAAAGGTACTCGTGGGAAAACTTTTTGGAATCGTTCCAATTAAAGTATCCTGAAGATAGTTGGTCCCAGAAGGAGCTGAAAGCGCTGTTGAAGTTTAAGTTGTGTGATAAGGCTAAAGCACAATACGAGGCGCTTCCGAGGGAAGTAAGGCATGGGCCTTATGTGGGTATTGTAGCTGCTTTCTCTAAATCCAATTGAGTCGAGAGGAAGACCGAGAGGACAACGGCCTTAGGAAACTCAGAAGACTGAAAAAGGCAGAGGCGCAAACAGTGGCGGAGTACTGCGTCGAGCTGGAGAGGTTGTCGGCCAGGGCTTATCCGGAATTGGATGAGAAGGCACTAGTGACAACAAGGGCGCAACAGCTGTACGAGCAGATAGTACACTGGCCAGAATCATACTACTTCTTGGGAGCTATGGAAAAGGAAGGGCCCAGCGCGTACGAAAGCCTGAAGGAGGCCGCAATGCGCGTGGAAAGAAGGAGGCTGACATTGGAGAGTGCTAGGGCGCAAAGCTACCAAGCGGCAGGAGAACGATTGGAGAGCACATCAAGGCACGAGCGGGCAAGGGCACCGGCCAAGATGGAAAAGAGTATAAAGAGAGATGAAAATAATAACAGGCGACGAAGTGAGTTGCCGAATAAAGAAAAGGAAGAATCAAGACACAAAGAAAAGGGAGGACATATGCAACGCTTCAATTGCAGAGGTAAAGGTCACCTGGCAAGTGAGTGCAAGGGCAGAAGGGTGCTTGGGAGTAAAGCAACTGAGGTATCGCTTGAGCAAACCAAGCCACCCAGCCCCCCGGAGAAGCGATGTCCTTCAAGGGTAGTGCCACCGTTTGGGAAGAAGTCCGTTACAAGTTTGACGATATTTGGCAACGTTTGGTCCGCGTTGCTAGACGCGGGATCTGAAATTTTGATTCTGCCGCAAAAGGTGCTGCAGAGGATCGAAGAGGAGGCTCATCGGCTGCAAGAGTGCCCGATAGACCTTCGTAAAAGGATTCTGGATGCGTCGGGAAATCGGATGAAGTTCTTGAAGGTGGTGGAAGTGCCTCTAAAGGGAGGCACTGGGACAGAGATAACCTTGCAAGTGCATGTATCAGTACAGAAAGGGCATATGTTAGTTCTAGGCACGAATGCATTGGAAGCACTGAACTATACGTTAGTCAGACGATCAGGCGAAGATTGTAAAAAGGGCGAAGTGGCAGAGGAAGCGTTGGTGAAGCCTTCGCAAGAAGCCCGAAGTGCAAGTAAAGCCACAATGTAAAAGAATTCACGTAGCCGCTGGTGAGTTCAAGTGGGTAGCGATCAAGGGAAAAACACAAGCTGGTGAGCGAGTGCTCAAGTCTAGCTCTGAGTGGATACTCTCGGATCTATGTACAGTCAGTGAGACTGGCATGGCCGTAGTGCCGGTATGGAATACATCGTCAGAGCCTCTGGTGCTAAAAAAGACCAGGAGGTGGGTGACTGGGAGTCGGATGATGCAGAGTATTCCAAGGCAATGGCGAGAGAAGTGGCAACAGATATGCTTGTGTTAGGAAAACCCGAATTGCAAGCCCAGGAAAGAAGAAGTATGCTGAGTGCATACCTCAGGAACAACAGAGACAAAGAGGTTCCGGATGAGCCGGAGTTGTGGAGCATTGTAGAGGAGTATAATGACGTGTTCGCAGTAGAAGATCGCGAACTAACCCAGACCAGTTTGGTAGTCCACGAGGTGGATACCGGTGATGCTCCTCCCATTCGGCAAAGGACTAGACCAATACCACTAGGAGCACGTGCCGAATTCAAAGGCATGATCAAAGAGCTCCTAGATCGAGGCATAATAGAAGAGTCGGCCTCGGACTGGGCCTCGCCAGTGGTCCTGGTCAAGAAGAAGGATGGGACGCTAAGGTTGTGCATTGACTATAGGGAGCTGAACAAGCACACCAAGCAGGACGCCTATCCGCTTCCAAGGATTGACGTCATTTTACAGAGTCTGAAAGGGAAGTACTGGTTCAGTACCCTGGACATGGCGTCAGGATACTGGCAAATACCCTTGTCGGAAGACGCCAAAAGGAAGAGTGCCTTTACCACGTCAGAAGGGTTGTTTCAATTCAAGGTGCTTCCATTTGGGTTGTGCACATCGCCAGCCCGTTTTCAAAGACTTATGGATACGGTATTGGGCACCCTGCGTGATAAAGAAGTTTTCGTATATATAGATGATATCTTGATAGCGTCGGAGAGCAAAGAACGCCATTTTGAAGTGCTCAAGGCGGTACTGCAGGCACTCCGAGCGGCAAATTTGAAGCTCAAACCGCAGAAATGCGTGATGATGAGCAACAAAGTGATATTCTTGGGCCACGAAATTGCAGGAGATGGAGTGAGAGTGGACCCTATGAAGATAGAGAAGATCGAGAAGTATCCGAAGCCCAAGACTGTGGCTGAGTTGCGAACATTCCTGGGGATGTGTGGGTACTATCGGAAATTTGTACTAGGTTTCTCACGCATTGCTCGACCGCTGTTCGAGCTAACAAGTGTGAAGGCTCCATGGGATTGGAATGAAACCCACGAGGAGGCATTTGGTGAATTGAAGGCTAAGCTCACGTCTACCCCTGTACTGAGCCAGCCTGATGTGGAGGCAGCCCGGACGGGAGAAAGACCGTATATCATTTACACGGATGCGTCGCAGATAGGCATAGGAGCTGTGCTGTCTCAAGAAGGCAAGGATCATTTCTTGCATCCTATCTACTTCGCTTCGAAAAGACTATCCAGTGCAGAGAAAAGGTACCATGTAACAGACTTGGAAGCTCTGACAATAGTTTTCGCCCTGCAGAAGTTTCATTACGTCAGGACAGACCACCTGCCTCTGACGGCATTGTTCANAAGGAGTAATGTTTCCTCTAGAGTGCTGAGATGGGCGTTAGAGATTCAGCAGTATAAGCTAACCATAGAATACGTGAAGGGGAAGGCTAATGCGGTAGCAGATGCCCTCTCGAGAGGAATCCCGGTGGATGAGAGAGCGCTGGCTATGAGGCATCCAGGGGATGAGAAAATCGTATACGTAATGAATGAAGATCGGAACTCGGAATGGCTTAGCGAGCTTGCCGATGATGTTGTTTATGGAAAGGTGCTGACTCTATTGGGTGAGAACAAATTGGACGAAGAAGTAATTCTACCAGGCTATGGGAAAAAGTTGAGGGTCGCGGACTTCGTGTTGGAAGAGGGTGACCTGAAGCTCATTCGAGAGGATGGCACCACCGTCCATGTGGTACCAAGGTCGAAACGTAGAGCGGTTTTTGATGAAGCTCATGAAGGGTGTCTGGCGGGACATTTTTCAGCAAGGAAAATGTGTCGCATCTTGAAAAAGAAAGTGTTCTGGGAGACCCTTGACAAGGATGTGACATTGTGGGTGCGAGGGTGCCGTAAGTGCTTCTTGACGAACCCGAAACCGACAAACACCACGCTCTTGAAGCCATTCGTAACCAACAGGTCGTGTGACTGCGTTTGCGCAGATGTTCTAGAGATGGGCTTGAGTGCGAGTAGCATGAGATATGTGCTCGTACTTGCCGACCAGTTCTCCAAGTGGCTGGGAGCGTATGCCATGAAGGGTAAGTCAGCAAACACAGTGGCGCATGTGATATTTCAGCGCTGGATTTGTGAAGAGGGCGCTGGCCAAAACAGATACATACGGATCAAGAATCCGAATTCGTGAATGAAGTGGTTAGTGAGCTAGCAAAGATTTCGGAAATCAACCACACACTAACGAAAGGGTATAAGTCTCGAGAAAACGGAGCAGCAGAAAGAGCAATCGGGAGTATACAGAGAATTCTGAAAAAGAAGATCGAGTTCCCGGACTACTGGGATGTGCTGTTACCTAATGTGGTTTACGCGTATAACGTGACACCACACACGGTAACAGGAGAGAGTCCGTTCTTCTTGATTCATGGGTTCGACCCAACTTTGCCATTAAACTCAGTTCCGGAGAGTCGTGTCAGATTGGGGCATATCAACGTAGACGATTACAAATCTGAGTTGATTCGTGGTATGAGACTCATACGAGACGAGGAGATGCAGCACAATGAAAGGTACCGTCATAAAATGAAGCAATACTATGACGAGAAGAAGGGGGTGAACAACCAATACAAGCCCAAGGTAGGCGACAGAGTATTCATGAGAATGCCCAGGGAGAAAAGCGTGGTTAAACACCCTGAGCTTGCAGTTGACTGGAGTGGGCCTTTCCGGGTTATTGAGATCAGTGATAACTCGGCGCTTATAACGAATCTGGTCGCCAGTGAAGACTCTATTCGCGTCCAGTTTGACCTTTTAGTTAAGTGCCCGAATAAGATAAATGATGAATCAGTCAATGTAGTCTCTAGGAGAAGAAGAGGTAGAAAACCCAAAGAAAATTGTGTCGTTTTCTGTACACAGGGTATGATGCATAAAAAGTTGCGTTTCAGGCTGGAAGACGAGTACGAAGTGGCCGACGCAATGCATTTTCGTCATATTGAGTCCCGTTGTGATGGCCCACCATTTCCTGCGTTGGACGGCAGAACAGGCTTCCCGTTAGAGACATGTCGTTGTAGTCGAAATAGACCGAGAGGTAATCCGTCGGTGGTTGTTCGCACACAGTCGTCAGGAGAGCCGGCGATAAGGGATGGACGAATTTCCAATCGTCATTTGAAGCGTGTGGGAAAAAGAAATCTCCGATGTCTGCCGCGGGAAGCTGGTTAGATCTGAGGACATATCTTTTTCAGGAGAGGGGCATGTTGGTGTAGTAGTGCGTAGTTTAAAGGGTCGGGGCGGTACGCAGCGGAACCCCAAAATGCGCGGGCATGTACAATGGGCGGTAGGTTGTGAGTAAGTAGTAAGTAGTTGAGTACTCGTCGTGGCCGTGGAAGGCCGTCATCGTCGTCGTGCGACCCCGCTGGAGTTCTGCTGCCGCCGAGGAGGGAAGCCGCGTACTGTCCCACTCGCGAATTCAGTTAGGGTGTTTTGTTTCGTATATTGCAATCGCTTTTATAGCTATTGCTTTTTTTTGAGTGAAGTCTTTTGCTGTATTAAAAAGAAGTTTTAATCGTTTTACTGAATTTTTCGTTTGGTTGCTTTTTGTTGATAAAGAATTTTTATCACCAAGCAGTGTGCTTTCACTCGAACGGTTCGTGGCCGTAATTTCTTTTGGTTACTTTTCCATTCTTTTAATCTAACCAAAACCTAACTTTACTGAGTTCTTCCTTCAGGAATACTCAGCGTCCCCCATGGAGGGTAGAAGGGACTCTCTTGCTCCCACAATCTCGGCGCTTAGGGCATAGTGGAAGCCCTGTTGCTGCCGTAATTCGCTTTCCCGCCCTCGATCGATTTCACGTTAGACGAGTGTTGAGACAATACAGATTGCAACTATTCACTCTAGGACCCACACACAATCAGCTGATCGCCGAGTCATGAGGCGATGTTGTTCTCCCATTCTTTTTTCCTCCGTTATTCTTTTTGCTGCCGCGATCCCTTTTAGAGGCTGAAGAGGGTGGGCTACTTTTGCTGTTACTAGTGTTTTTTTGTTTATTTCAGGTTATAAGTGAATGAATTTTTGCTTACCATAGTCTGTTATTCGCACCAGGACCCACACGCACGCAGTGAGACACATTGTAGTATATTATAGACACATTGTCCGAACGCCCCACGCTTCTTCGTTTTTCAGGTCTCATTCTCGTCCAGCCCCCTTTTGAACGGTTTTTCGAAGCCTTTTCTCACTTTGGATACACCTATTCACGCAGTTTCTTCACCTTCATCGCACTATTTTCGATCTTGTCTTCTATTTTTCATCATAATCTGGAGTACCCAACTTAAGAAAGGCTGAAATTCACCTTTGACTCATGATCTCGAGTTAGAATTCACTCACGACTGCTTATAATGATGAACTATCAAGAACTGGCACGGTCTTAGAAGAATGGGAGGCATACGAGTAAGGTGAAGTTCAAAGAAAATTTGGTACGAGCCAATATGTTTTCGCAAACACAAGGCTCATAAATTGGGACGTTTTCATGCTCGTGGATCGGAAAAAGATCATTTTCGCTGTATCCAATACGGCGAGTGGGCGAAACCTTCGTGGTAACTGCATGGGTAACACAGCAAAAAATTAGGTGTCACATGATCACATATCTCTACGTGCTATAGAATTGGAAAGTCACAAACACTAAAACATGACGAAGGAGCAACAAAATGCATGAACCTGCTTACCTATTTAGCTAACATCTCAAGGGTCGGGAAATATAGGATGAATGGCTTAGCTGTTCTAACATTCGCTGCATAAATCACTCGTTTTTTCTATAGAATATCAAAGCTGCTTATAAATTTGTAATAATTTATCATAGAGCAGATGTGGCTTCGTTGGTGGTAGCAAGCTGATGATCACCGTTAGTCTACATTAGAAATATTTTCAATTCTGACGCTTCACATCTACCTGTTCCAAAGGTGATGAATAATTCGAAAGATTTTCTATTGAACAACAATCCTTAGGCGAGTTTCAGTAGTGTCACGATTTGATTTGTTCAGTGGATTCCCAAAGTGAACTGTGGATTTTCTGCTCATCGGCGCTCTTCTGGAACGATGTTATTTGGCGATGCTCGAATGACACCGGTGTAACTTCCTCTAAGGTCTGATCGACGTATGACCGAAGTCAGTGAGACTACATTTGAGTTGACTTCGAAAATTATTTGATCTCGAGTTACTACCAATTATCTTGGAAAGGCTTTGTCACATCAACCGGATAAACACAAGTGGATATATCACCGATTTCAATACTTTCTCTGATGTTGTCCAGTTTGTAGAAAATCTTTTCACAGGGACCTAGCAATAATGAACCATCTCCTCTCAATATGGGATGATATGTTATAGCCCTTAGTTCGCGATATGAGGACGCCATGTTCCTTTAACTTAGCATCGAACCTTCGTCTGGATATCCAACAATGATACTGCCGACGAGAAGTGGCATTATTCGTTAATCAGACCTACAGCGACAGCGGTTCAGCTCCACAGATCCAGGACATCCGACAATCTAAGCCCAATTTAACCATTACCAACTCTTCTGTGTTTTGGTGGATTCCAAGAGAAGCTGCTCATTGCAAACTCTACCTAGCAATTCTACTTATAAGGGAAAATTCTACAGGCACAATTCGACCGCTTAGCCAGGAAGTTGGAAGAGCAACGAGCCGAGTTACCACCTCCATAATGATTCTTGACCCCACATCACTAAAGAAATTAAGAAAATCGAAAGCTTTTGGCTGGACGAGTCTTCCTCATCCCTGAGCCCTGACCTTACACCAAGGGATTACACACCTCCGCTGGCAAAGCCAGTACCTATGAAAAAGTCCCACGGTAAGAGGCATGATCTTCAAATCTGCATCTATACTTTTCTAACCAGAAGACAGAGGAAGTTTATGGGAGAGTTATTGAACGACTGTGTAAGGGTTGACCCCACGTTGTAGGTGGCAATGGTGCATTCTATTTCGGATGTAAGACTGAGAAATGATGAAGGAGTAACGAAAAGCACCCTGGGTGGTGGTGGAAGTCATGTGCCAACTTAATAGATTGTTTCCAAAGTTTTACCGCTTCATGCATATCTTTGCCCAATTTAGAGTAGCTAGGATCTACATGAATATTATAACTTATATTTCTTCCTGAATCTGTTTCAAAGAAACAAGCGGAGTGAAGAAGCATCTGAGAAAGCCAAATCGCGCTCGCGTTACTCATGGGGTCAACCCCGGTTCAAAACAAGCAGGTTTCCAATCAATTTCACTTAACTCAAATTTTATGAGAAGACGAAAACTTTAAACATAATGTTTTATGGGATGGAGGAAACGGTGGACGAAACATCAGTTGGTGAGACAACGACCGATCACATCTGTCGACATTGTTCGATATCTCTTTTATGAGATTCGGTAGCACTCAACGTTCAGTGTTATTTTCTCGAAAAATTGTGGATGGTTTTGGAAAATGCCATGAAGAATGTATTCAGACTTGATCAACCTCCTCTCCAAACTGAACCTTTCGCTCCACGTCGAGAAGAACCATTTTCATTTCGCCAGTAAGAGATAATCCTTCCCCTCGACGCATCTCTTGGCAAAATATTTGAAGACCACATTTCCAAAAATCATTGAACTGTCAAGACTTACCCCGAATTTTATATCTAGAACCGGATCGTGAGCCCTCCTAAAGTCTAGATCAGCATGCTTCTCCCATTCTTTGAATGCCTTCGATAATACTGCGTCTACCGCACCAGCAGAAAGACGGCGTGACCATGAGGTTACTCTGAAAGCTCATTAATGGGTACTGATTTTGAAGATTACCTCTGTTCTAATTATACGTCTGTTATAGTAAACTCCTAACTCAAATAAGCAATGATTCTGTAATTTCACCGTAATCTTACACTTAGGCTGAGGCCTCTGCGAGGGACTGCTGGCTGTCGATGCAGTGCGACTTCTGTTCCCATCTAGCCGAATAAATTTCGGCGCCGCGTCTGATGTAAACTATACTCCTATTGATTGCTTTCAGGAAGCGACTGCCATCAACATTTCCGGAAACTTCCAGAAACGTTTCGTCAATGATATCTGCCACTACTGAGAAATTTCTATTTGATTTGAAGAGCCGCAGTCTTCGCTACGGTAAGGGGTCAGTAAAACTGCCAAGCACGAATATGGGCCTATTAAAATTGTCAAAAAGGTTAAATATAGGTAAAGGATGCAAATTATATATCATTACAGTAGAGAGATAAAAAATAACGGAAAACTTTAACAGCTTTACCTAGGTACTTTAATACAAAGTTGCTGGCGAATAGATGCCATAGGGTACGATGGCTCGACTTACTCAAGGAGGTTGTGATGACAGTAAACATCGAACAACCGACTGAGCAAGCAGAGTTCACGGACCCAAAATGAAGACATCCGATGGGCGGCAGGACAGCGAACAGCTCACGGAAAGAGTGCAATAGAGATCAGCAGAGGAGGTTGGCTTATAGTCTGAACATCGAGGAGGTGGGGTGTGTGCGTGCGAGCCGAGGGGGCGGCCAGAGCTTTGTTGGCGTGGACAGCCGCCACTGTACCTAGAAGATTACCGAGAGAATCAGAGAAACATCAGTCAGCGTAGCAAGTATACGTCTAAGCGAGACGTGAAATACGGTCAGCCAAAAAACCTCGGGAGGTGACGATGGCTGATAAGCCTTGTTGCAGCTAGTAGTTCAACTGTTCCTTCAAACCTGATCACCTCTAGAGAGCAACGGGAAAGCAATTGTGAGAATATTTTGAGAATGCTGCTTCATAGCAATTCTGAGGGCCCGGATCAGAATCGATAGTTTTTCTTCTTGTGTAGTATGTACTATAGAATTATGTTCAAAATTCAATGAACAATGGTTCACGGTTGGAGGGCGCCCATTTGGGATTGAAAAATTGTGGTAGCCTCTCACGAGTTAGTGGTGGAGTTCAGTCACAGAAACCCAAGCAGAAGCTCAGCAGCAAACTAAGATTCAATATCGCAACGAGAGCATGATAAGCCGTGATGACTGGAAACTTGGCGAGCTTCTTAACCTTTCGGTGTAGGATAAAGTCGAGGAAATTAGTAATAAAAATACTTGTGGCTATGAGCAGCTGAAACTTGCATACGGAAATCCCAGATGTTGCTCAATACCTTCCTATTTGGTCAAACACTTTCATTCACTGGTTTGAAAATCGTCCGATCAGCGACAGAGGCCTATTGTCACAATTGACATGCAACTAAGATCGACTTTGGAAAACACGACACTAAGTCAGGGATGGGTTTATTCCAGTCAACCATTTGTAAAAATCGTACATTCTGAAATAAACCTGACTTTCTTAGATCAGTGTTTCTAGAGAGAATGACCCATCCAGCGAGTGTACTCGGACGTTCCGAACTCTAATTTAAACTGACATCTGTCAATCGATTGAGGTGGAGAGTGCCAAGATCTGAGCCAAATCACCAAATGTAAAGAAATCAGGGACATGCAGGGGCAGGAGGAGCGTGAGCAGATAAGTTCCTGAAGAGCATTCCCTAGGGTGGCTTGAGATACCTAGCCCAGCAATGCCTTACCTACTACTTTTGGCATGACGCCGAACGATGAAACTTCGAAGGGTCGTAGTGATGATAGCAACGTCCTTGGCATCATGGCTCAAAGTCACTGTATATTATGCCGATAAATGAGCAATAGAATGTTGTGTTCTGAAAACCTCGATTCGGTGTACGCCACATATTCAAATCCAGGTAGGTGTGCATTGTCTGCACAATGAATCGCGGGTTCAGCCGATGTTTTGTGCAGTTCCTGAAGAGCGATGAGAATATAGTACCGGCTATTCTGCTGGGTGGGATTCAAATTTTTTTAGAAAAGAAGACGGTTAAACTCCCAGGTGCTTCAACAATTTCTCTGGCGTGTTTAACGGGCATTTTATAGATAATATGTAGACTGGCTTCCCAAAGCTTATTTTACGAGGATATGTATCCGGCAGAGCCTGATCTTGAGGATTCTCACCCGGAACGTTCTCAAGTGTCGTGCGAAAAAATGACATCGAGGAATTCTGAAGGGAGTCCCAGTGAAGCTATCGGTGCCATGACAATGTGCAGCTGAACGACTGTAGTTTTACTTAGGGATAACAGCCAACGACTTCAAAATTTCCGCAATGATATGACATTGATCGCGTTTCCTTGTGAATGCTTTAAATGGGGTATCTACATTGCATTCCAACTGCCAGTAGTAGAAAAAGCACATTTGTCGTTCACGAACAATGAGGTGAGGATGGTATTTCTTATGATTCCAGTGGATTGTCCCGTAACGCTTGGGAATGTCTAGACTTGATATGGTCACCTCCACACTTCAGAGCCACTCTATTGGCTACTTGGCTATGCGATGCTTTTACAAGTGGACCTTTTTAGTAACTTTGTTTTCTGTACATATATGACGAAATAGGTCGATTAGACATTGGCAAAGAATGTCCATAAAGCGCCCCTACCAGAACTCAACTGTGAAATCCAAACTGCGAGCGAACAGAAGTACTGGATCCGCCAACGAGGGGCCTATCACAGATAATTTCGTAGGCCACACGACGTGATACCTCCTAGGAGAATAACTAATGCTGTCTATGCACTCCATTCATTGTTCCCTTAAAGCGGAACAGTTGGAAAATTTTGACAGAAGTGAATTCAGTCAACTCTCGAAATGACGCCTTCTTGGGGTTTCTAACTCTTGTAAGCGATTACGCAGAACTGGCTACAACGAAATGACAGGGTACCCAAGCAGACAATTTCTTATGTAGTCTAGGCACTTATTTGTTTATTCAAGTGACCTGAAGGGCCAAATAATCTACGGCTCGGATCTTTTATTATTCTGAACAAAAGTGTAATCGATCATTCGATTCCAGAGCGATGGTAGCTGGATTGACTTCGGAGGATATTCTGAGAGTTGGTTGCTGAACTCTGCCTTTGCGGGGGTTTAGATTGGGATCGAATGTCGATTTGAACCGTGCAATTCCCATGTTCAGCCTGTTTCCTCAGCAGCTACATTAAGTTCGTTATCATGCGATAGGACAGATGGATCAGAAGCATCATTAATATATTCGGAGGGAAATGAACTCTCAGAAAATCTGATGATTTTTCAACAAGAAGCAGTGGTGCCGCATTGCTTGCAGAGTGGTTCAACCTTATCGAAGCGATTGTTACCATCCACTCTTGCTCATCCTTATTCAAGTCTCTGGAAAACTTCCAAGAGTTTCATTTGGCACGAAATACAGCTAGCTACAAGCTTCATTGCTAAGAGTATTACTAACATGAATGGTGCTGTCGCTACTCACTCCCCACTATTCCATGGCAGCATGATGCGAGTCGTTTGAAAGCAACGCATCCAAGATATCAANGTCGGCATTTTTCAATTGCTCAAAATTTCCTTCAGAGAGAAATGCTTTCACAGGAAGTTGATCAAATCAGGAAGGATGAGCAGCGGGTGAGGCATCTACACTTAATCTCAGAAGAGGGTCTTTTACCCTCATAGCTTGATTACTTATCGGTATGTTATTCTATAAAGTAGGTTATGTGTGGTCTAAGATCGGCTCGCATAAAGTCGGAACAGCTCAGCAACTATACTTCAATTACACAAACAAGATGCCATTTGGCACTTAAAATCTTTGCCTTGGTTTCGGTTCTTCTTTGCTGATATGCTTGTTGTTGCTTTTTGCTTTTTGTATTACTCCAAGTTTGATCCATGTCACACTTAGTGAATAGGATTAATAGAACGGCTAAACATTGGCTTTAAAACTGTACAGTAAATTATACGTCGACGCCTTTTCCGAATAAAACAACCCGTAATCGGCTGTTGCAACTCCTTCTAAATGCACCACGCACATCCTCAGTGGATTTCTGCAACTTGCCCATCGTTAGGCCAAGTGTTTCCATATTTTTTCTTTCGTTGACCGATAAAATAACTCGGTCGGTAGAGGTGGGGCCGGACTAAACGAGTCGGATACCACTTCATTCGTCCTACGGACTGACCTGATAGCTGAATGGCGGCAGATACGGCAGATACGTAAATCAAACGCTCAACCACACCACTACGCCTCAACCCATCATCTGCTGCGTAGTACCGTAAGCAGGGAAGATTCTTACGTGTAGCTGGACGTGTGGCTATTTTTTCGGAGGCAGAACTCTTCGTAAGTGTGCAGCAACCCTCAATTTTTGAATTAAAAAATCCTTCAGAATAGTCTTCTTTATTCCACAGTTTTGCTCAACTTCAACATTTTCTTCCATTGGCCTACTTCGGTTACTGTAAAAATGCAAACGCCCATGAATGCGCGGTAAACAAAAACAAACAACTTGGAGAGAGCTCGAAAACTCCGAGACTCTTATAAACTGCATGTGATGAATAAGAACATGATCTCGGATATGTGTACCTGAGCAAACAATAAGCAGAGAAAAGTTGAAGAGCATCAGAAAAGGCATTTGCTATCCCCAGATAATCACCTCGGAATATACAACGAGTACCGCCGGCTAGATTGCCTTAATTACAAGGCTATGGGGAAAGGGATTCAAAGCTCCTCCCGAAATCTATTCTCAAGCGGAAGGCAAGACCGTTCATGCAAGGTTTCATTCCATGACGCAACCGAAAGGAGAAAATGGGGAGTTCTCGAATAGTTATTGGCTGAAGCTCTCTGTAAGACGAAGGAGAAGAGCACCTGGCCTGGATCAGGGCACGTATGAGCAGAACAGTTAAAATATCTGCAAAAGGCCCTTATATGATCTCTCATTCTAACACCTCATTTTAAAATATTCCTAGATCCTTTTGTAGTACTCAAAGTCTTCTTCCGTCCCACCTTTTACTATGCCCTTGAATACTACAAAAGGAAGAGCAATCTTTGTCGCGCTTTGAATACGTTTTCGTTAGGTGGTTGAGTTTCATATGGCAATTTACGGGAGAAAGAGACCCCTATTATGCTACTCCTTCATCAGCTTCAATAATGCACTTAATACGGCTTAGTAGTACAATTGAATACAGTTTNCGCAGAATTCGTTACCATCAGCACTTTCGAAGCTCTTATTCAATACCGTATCACCAACGCGGTCTAATACGG